GGAGAAGTAGAAGAAGGCGAAGAAGCGGAGGAAGGGTCGGAAAATGACGTTGATGTTGAGGTTGAAGAGGAAAGTAACGCCACAACAGAGGAACTTACAAATTTCTTGCATCCAGGTACCTACTTTGTGATGGCAGGTCGACTGTCGCAGTCGGTTTTGTCACCCTCACCGAAGGTTTCCGGTCTGTGGCTCCTCGATCCGTGGGTTGCACGTGCTGCCAGTGATGCTCGAGAGCCTACTTTTGCCCTGCCGCCGGATTTGGATGGGTTGCTGCATCGTGCTACTGCGGTATGTGGTGCTGTTGGACTGGCGAATTGGACGGCCCTAAGCGCCGCTGCGGCTTGTTACTGTGGTGGCCAGGAGACACAGACGACTAGACCACCCTCATCATCTCAATCTCTGCTGCCTCCGTCCATCATGAGGTTTGCACGTCCACTTACAGAGAACATCGGTGGCAGTGGCGGAGGCCTCTCCGCTCTCTCCGCCTCTGCTGCTGCATTGTTCGCTTTTCACCATCGAAACAGCGGTGCTGGCAGTGATTCCGACTAGGCATCTGCCTGGAATTCTCTTTTTTCTGTAATATACACTTGTTCCCTTTTATTTCTTCAATGGGTCTCTTGTTCCAGCAAGTAGGGGCCTTGTGCTTGTCTATGGGGCAATCCCTTTTAAACTTTTGAATCGTAGGGTAAAAAAAATGTGATACAACAAGAAGTAAAATTTTCCTGCAACTTTCCTCCAAACAGAGCCTTCAATGCTTCATGCTTTCAAGGAAAAAGGCTTCCCTTTCGATCGGTGAAATAGCTGATGGTTCATAGCTCTCTGGTTTGAATGCTGCTTTTTAGTCTTCGTTCAACACCGCTTTCCTGCCCAGTCGGGGTCATTTATCTGAATTGTTCTTGTTAGATGAGTTGGATAATCCTCCCTCGAGAAGAGAGTTCTTACTTGATTCGCATTCCCCTTACGTCCATGTACCGTCACCACTTGGGAGATATCTTAAGACGTTGAACTGTTATTAGAATGTCAACAAAATTGAGGGTTGGTAACCTCGTCATCAAAACTGTTGCGATTGCGTTTAACTGATTACGAGAATGTCGTTTGGTGTTCGTTGAGTTGCGTTGGTTCGCTAGCAATTTGAGAACGGATTTTGCGCCGTTGCATCCATAGTTTTGGAAGGCGTTAGGCATGCGAAAACCGTCTAAATGTGTCTCGCCTCTTGATTCCTAAATATAATAGTCTTTCACACATGGAGGATTTGAGAAGTGCCAAGGGGTCTCTCTCTTGGCAAACTATTTCCTCTTTGCTTCAATACTGCACTATTTATCTTGTATCACTGTCTATGGGACAAACGCTTGTTCTTGGTAAGAATTGCAAAGTCTGGGTAGACGCTGGTCTGCCAATATTCAACCCTTTTTGAGGTTCGTTAACTCTTCCTCAGACCTCTTCTTTAGCACTTGGGACATTGGAGAGGAAAATGGGGTTGTGATGTGAGGTACCTGTGGAGAAGCAAGTAATTGACCGACTGAACGCACTTTTCTTTTATACGTAGGTCAGAGAATAATTTGGACTGCCTGATTCAGCTCAATTTTGTGCAAACAATGCCTCTTCTTTTGAAATTGTCAAGCCTAGTCAAACAACTGGAAGAAGACAAGATCTCCCACTATATATCTAGCATATCGAGAGACTTGTTTGTCGGAAGATTCGTGGACTGTTTGGGTGATACAGGCGGAAAAAAGGCGCTACTCAACCTCATCTTCCACCTTTTCTTAAGACTTCCATCACAAACTTGCCAAATGAAAGTACAGAGAGAATAAAATGTAAAAATGAGGCGTTTTGAAAAGGATCAACGCGCTGTGTTGGATTCGCCTTCTCAGATGAGATATTACCACTTGAAAACGCATATAACGGATGCTCTTTTCTTTGCAAGTGACGCTGTTAGTGCTCTTCTTAGTCACCCTTCTGCGTTGAACACCGCTGATGACTCGACCACACCGGTGTGGAAATGACATTCAGCTGAGAGGCTTAACTGCAGCTTCACTAACCCCTCCCGCCATTTCCGGTAAGTTTGTAGCTTTTTTCCTGCAAGGAGGAGAATTTTCATCGCTACTTGTGAGATCAGTTCCTTAAAAGACAGTCACACAGCATGACATGGAGTTTGAAATTGCTTTCATATCGACTTGGTGTCTATTCAGTCTGCCTGAATGAGTGATAGTGTGTTTCAGCCAACTACCACCTCAGCGGTTCACTAATTGTTGGACTTCAGCTTGAAGAGCACGGGAGCGAGCACTTATCGAGAGATAGTGCAAATCCCACCCATTCCGTTAGGGGTTTTTCCAAGTTATCTAATTCACATTCTACATCCCTTTTTCATTGCATTCAAGTCAAAGACAGATAATAGGAGCAGGCGTTCAGATTCCCTCAAGATTGTCAAAAATGACTCCTTCCCAAAAGCAGAATGTATTGTCGGAGAACTAAAGGCCGAGCTGCCTTAGCGAAGTATAATCGCTGGTTTATCAAAACAGACAGTAATTAAACAAGTGAGGTACTCTTAAAAATACCCATGAGTCATCTCAAGTGTATTGTGGGCCTCGCTAAAGTCTGGGATCGCTAACACAAGCAAAGTGAAACTTCATAGTTGTGAGGTGTCCGATGAAACGGAATTTGGAGAAACTATTATCTGCCAGTGCAAGCCATATGGTAAGAGAACCATCAGAGTAAATCACGAGCATCAATGACCATGCATTTAATGTTTCCACCAGAGCGCACCAACAATGCGTTTCCTCCACAGCCTGTTGATCAGAGTGAAGTTCGAACTTCTCAAATGACAGTCACCAATAGAGTCAAATAGGACCTTTATTTAATGGAAGAGTCGAAATTTTCTCTATTCCTCTTTTATAGGCTTGAAGGTGCTTTGAAACTATTCGATCACAGTCTGCTTTTCCAGTAAATAATATCCCAACTGTGTCGAGATGTTCTACTAAATTGCCATAAGTAGCAACACTACAAAGGTTTAACTTATATTGTCTTTTAGCCCCAAAAAAATGGTAATCTGAGTGAAAATTTGATCAAATTCTGATTAAAGTACCCCTAGTGAACGATCAAACTTTGCCCTTTTTTGATGAAAACCAGCTTCTAGTCGTTGGATTAAGTCAAAATGTGCTCTTCGAGTTCACCCAGCCCTTGCATAAAAGAGGCGCTACCTTTTCAGGCTTTCTTTTTATGCGATATTTTTTGTTGGGATGCTAGTGTAAGGTGGCAAGGGTTTTATCAACCTTGCAAACTCCTTCACCCAGTTTGCTGGGAAAGTTGAATAGGTTTGGGTAAATCCTATGCGCCATGGAAGGATGCCCCACCTAAGCTTAGTCCAAAAATCATCAATTTTGATGCTTTTGAAGGAAAGGAGCGAAAGCAAATCAGACGTGTGGAGCCTCAAAACGAGAAGTTTTTGTGAGTCAGTGGTAGATTTTTAAAGAAATTAGCCCGCTCCAAGCTTACTTTTGACGCTGCACCAGTTATTTGCGTGCACTCACAGTCTCATGATGAAAAAGGAACTCTTTTCTGAGCATATTACAAAATTCTCTTCTCAGGTATAAAATATACAAAATCTTCGCAAATCAAGAGGACAAAATGATCTTTTGAGATCACGAAAACTTTCCATGGTTCATCATCGTTACTCATTCCCCGATCCAGCAGGTGACCAGACCTGAGCCTCGTTGAGGTAGAGCAAGTCGAATATTTCTAAATTGTAAGAAAGGCAAATTGCTTAGGAGAGAAACGCTGAGAAATGGCTGCAAAAAATATCGTATCCACTAGATGGACGAAAGAACGTCTCTCCAAAATGGAGCCGTTGTCATTTCAAATTGTAATTTGTGCCCTTGTATGGAGTTAGGTGAAGAGTTTTGCAGAGAAAGCGATTGGATAGCCCTCGAAGGGGGCTGATCATGGATGTAACACTCTGTGAGTTGTTCTGCCCCAATTTCGGCAAGTAATGCGTTTCGACTGATCTGTACGCCTTTTCAATAGGTTGCAAAGAGCTGTTGAACCTGAATGGATTGCCTGCTTTGGTTCTTTGCATCCAGTTTTGGATACATTAAACCGGTTCACAGAGTCCAAAGTAAACATTCTTTCATGAAGATGCCAATGGAGTTCTCTTGGACAGAACGGTGAGACACTTCAATTTATCTCGGTAAGTCGAAAACAACTAGCCTTTGCTGTAGTCCCTTCCTCAGTATTCGTTCATTTTTGACTTTCCTATGACAAACAACTCACTGGCTACTGTTGAGGCCTAGCGTGAAAATCGTCGGGAACCGGAGCAGTCAAGTTTTGATTATTTGCAAGACAACAGAATATGGTTGTGAAGCGAGAAGTCTAGGGTAAAATTAAACCCATTCTTTCGGTGGGAAACGAAAAACCTTTGGCAGAAGTTAACTCTTGAAATCAAGCTTCCCAATGCATTGTGGGCCTTGGAGGAGCATCACCCACACAAGTGAAGGGAAGGAAGATAGGAAAGAGGATGCAATGAGGCAGAATTTCTTTGTCCTTCCAACCCAAAGCTTTATCACGAGTAACTTTTGCAGTAGACGACATACAGGATGAGGTTCTGCGCTGTGCCGCCGGGGTACAAAGTGCTTGTTGCGCACCTTCGAAGTTTATTAGATGATCTCCAGTGAGTGGAACTTAGTCGTAATTTTGCACCTCCACCTTCAAGACAAAGGTAGACCATCAGGCTCTCAACCCTTTTGTATGTCGATGATAGACCTTCCATCTCATCTGCGCGCGTTTTAATGACCCAGAGCGTAGCTATCTGCAGTACTGGCGTGAGAGTAGAGACTCACAGAATTGTGCCTTGCTTATAAGTCATTCGTCATTCCCACCTTCTGCATAACTAACATGCCAATTATTCAAAACCATTCACAACTTCCTCACTAACAGAACAGTCACTTGAGGGAAAATCTAGTGAGGGTGTATTCAGAATATATCCAACGATTTTGATATGGATGGTGGACTCTCTGAGCACAGATGTGCCACAAGTGTGCATTTGCCTCTCCGGCGTCACAAATTTCTCATGAATAAGGAGAACTTACCTTGAACATTAGCCTCAAGAAGGCGGATGCTGCGTAAGCAAGCGGCAACTGAGGGATGCATGCCAGTGGGCCTGCCGTTGCTCACAGCACCCACTTCCTCGTCTGCGTAAATGTCATCCCCAGGAGAGCAATAGCCCACCTCCGAGTAGTCACGCCTTTCCAACCAAGATAAAGAAAGGGAAGTTAGTAGTAATTTGCCGTGCGTTTTGTGTAAGAAGGTATTTAGGGAACGCCTTCATCTCACCACAAGGCTTACTTTTACTTCGCCATTATTACACATTGCAATGTTTGGCCTTTATCAACACGAATTGCTAAGACTTTTTATCATTTAATAAGTAGAAAAGGAAAGGCCTGCGATAAATGACTGATTGTGGCGGTGTGTCTTCCTCTTTTTTAGCCGGCTTGTCAAAAGTTGTTTCATATTACAAAACAA